GTTAATGCGGAAGGACACAGGCCAACATTCCGGAACTCATCCCCACAGGAAATGAGTGCATGCCTTGGCATAAATCTGACGCGTTCGAGTTAGGAGTCGTGGACGGGAAGGTTGCTGACTAACGGGATAACTCAGTTCTTATACAGACCATTTCAGAGCGCAAAGGGTAATTTTTAGTGTGATCCTTCACGTGTGTGAGACCCTAACGGCCCATACAGAAGCTCGATGCGCTTATTAGGAGCCATGACGTGTGTGGTGTGCGGAGATTGATTGTTTAGCATTGTCAGTCAATGCGCCCAGACTCAACTCCGATTGTCTTAACAGTGGCTTGCTATCGGAGCAAGTTGGGTGAGTGAATCGTAGATGGTGCGCAAATCAGCCTCATTACAACATAATCCAGGAATAAGTCGCTGATGATGTAGGGCACGTGGTGAACTTCTTCGCTGACAAAGAGTAAACTGCTAAAAGTGAAATTGAGTCAAATCATCCGGGTAGCCTATTACAGAATCTGTAAGCGGTGGACTACCTACATTTCATTTTTGGCACTAAGAGGATTATTATTATGCACTATATTTGTAGAGACACGAGGTATATAGCATTTTATATGATACAGATACCTGCCCCATGTTGGGATGGCCCGGACGCGAGTTATCACTCGGGCAATCCCGAGACTACCAGAAGTTACAAGCGACCTTCAAAGGGCGGACATTAGGCCAGGACAAAGAGGCACGCGGAGCGACACTGGCCCGGAGCCGGTTTGCTGCTATCAGTGAGGTCACGCTGAGGACAGATGCACAGACGCCACATTAGCCCGCTTTTGTTGCTTTCCAATTCTCGCCGCTTAATTACTCTGTGGTATCACGGCATTGTGCTTATGGATGGCATAATCCCTGCATATAATTAGAAAAACCAACAAATTCCAATGGGGACCATAACTAAAACTTACACTCCAGAGGGAATACAACATGTCTAAAAAACCGACAAATTCGTGTAGGACCAGATGATACCCGTCCACGTTGTTGCAATGGCATAAACAGAGTTAATAGACATGTTTGGCAAACCCGAACCCCTGATAATATGTTCTCCAAAATTAGAAAGCTTGCGGCTTAGACTATCAGTTTCAGAACCCAAATGCAAGTAACTATAAGGATCTAAGTGGCGAAAGGGTGCAATAAAAGCAATCATTCTCTCGACAGCGTTAGCTGCCGTAACTTGAATAAGCATGGCATACCCCATCTACGAAATTGTAATAAAAGCTAAAGCATAACTTAAGGATACATGAGGGCACTGAATCTAATGAATAACTCAATGAAAAGGGTCCGCGCATACAGATTAAAAAGTGGATTTGAAGTCCAAAAATATGTTGCCTACAGCTACGACAGGTCAGATAATGAATAACGTGTACGTACTGATTTGCATCCAAAAGCATCACATCACAGCCTTGGACATTTACGAAGGTATCCATTGGTAAGGCGTGCACATTGAGGCCGTGTCCAAAATTCTGCAAAAGGAATTTCTTGGTTATCTTGATACGTAAATGCTGCCGGGAACGTATTACCTCGCTGCAATATATAGTTCCAGTGAAGGCCTTTGACAGACCTCCATAATGGTCATAATGGAAATGGGTCAAAAAATAGGCGGTGCATCCCGAAATACTGCCATATTTAAATGCATCTACTGTGAAGTTAGTGTCTTCGAGCATCAGAGGCAACACAACTTATATACCTGGAATCCATTTGTAGCGAGGGCAAGTGCGAGGAGTGGCACTATGGTTCTCTTGTCTATGTATGTAAGTAGTAGCTCGCGCTTGCGGTTGTATTTTGCCATCGGATATGTTAAGATGGGGTTTGGGATTGATTGTATTTTTACAGATGCCAGATGAAGTCACATCTTCTTTCAGTGGTTTCGACTGTATCATAAAGGAAAGAATTGATTTATTTTCGCTAGCAATTTTCTTTTTAAGTTTAAAAGAAAGTCCAGGCGACATGCTAAAAAGACAACAATTTGACAGTCATCCGGTTGACTTTTGCTATTTCGCCAGCATTCCAACCTATTAGAACAAATTAATTGACACCAATGGGAAGTGAACTATTAATTACTCAACACGACACGTTAGGGCACCATGCTGTTCGCTTATTAGCTACTTCTTCGAGAAGCCTGACATTTATATCAACATATTTCTTTGATATTATATCATTGTATGGAGTTTTTTGCCTTATTTTTATCTATTGACGTTTAATGTGTAGTTTGGAGATTGGTTTATAACCTACACTAGCGCAAAAGCCCGGCTTCGCCTTAAGGCTTCCTTGCCTATTATTGCCCCTTACATAGGCAAACGGTATGTGTACTGAATATGAGAACTTCTTAAAATTATGAAGTATAAGGTGAATAGCTAGGCATTTCTGAGGTCGTTAGACTTGATGTGCAGTATGTGTATGCTCAGAAGGAGTAATTGTGGAGAAGTAACGATGAAAAATTGTAACATAACTAAAATATTGTTTAAATGTGTAGGTCCGAACGCTGCGCAATCAAATAAAAGTAAATATCGATTATTCATGAAAATTATGAGATTTACACCCT